CCACCAGCCTTCTGGTTAGCAGTCAAGTGCTTTAGCCACTATGCTTGTGGTTAGAGGGTGGATATATTTGTTATCCTTCACATTTTTCAACCCTTTAAATATTTAAAGACTGTTAACAAATCCTGCATCTCAATTTTTATTTTCTCCGGGCTAAGTAACTTAAGTCCTTCCAGTTTATTATCCAAATCTTTAAATCCAAAGCACGCACTGTCTCTCACTACCGAACCAATGTAGACATACACATACAGAGCATACCAACAGGGCCTGTATTGCACCAAAATGCTCTTAAATTGAAGAAAATATATCTTTGCTGTCCTCTCACAAAGTAGATTAAGGTCACATCCATCACGTAGTTACATGAACCATTAAACCATCAGTATATTTCTTTTATTAAATAGAATGCAAGAGAATCAAAAGCTGACCCACGTCTGTCATTCTGAGGAATGAGTATGTTTGCCGAGAGGAAGGTGAGTTCTCTACTCCATTATTGACAAGTGGATTAATCATTTTGCCATTTTTGAGTGTTTGGAAACATTGAAGAACAGAAATAGATCAGCTTGATGATATGGAATGCACTTGTACCAGGAAACACTACCATTCTTCTAATCCTACAAGGCATAAATACAACAGCTCTTGTTTTCCACACAGATTCTTGTTTCTTTCACACCCAAGCATATGCTGAGAGCTCTCAAGCAACACTCTTCCTCCATCTCTGGGAGGTGTCTTAAAACATTTTTAGCTTACCAAACAAAACAGAGTAGGATCTGTTTCTTTACCCAAGGAGAATCATCTCCCACTGCCTATTTACACAACAGATAGACACTTATACATTGAAATAAACCTATTTTCATTCTAAAATTAGATCTGTGCTGCCATATTTAAAGGCTGCAACAATTGTGTTTAAAAACCAATCACCCAGGATGTTTCACAGTTACTTTGTGATATTAAAACCAAATGCCCCTTGAAATTAGAAGGTGAGTAACATTAACAAATTGAGGAAGAACATGAGCCTACTGGACTGGGATTATAAGTAGGAAGAAATTACCAAAAAATGATAGTAAAATGTTGTGGCTGAAAACATATTATGACATATAAGCAAAGGATCAGTTAGTCCTCCTTGAAAGACCCCAGTAACAAATGCTTTATTAAAAGCCTAGAACTGGGCTGTATAATGTGGTAGCAACTAACTGCTCATGGCTAGTCATATTTAAATTAATTAAAATTAAATGATATTAGAAATTCAGTTCCTCAGTTATATTAGCCCCATTTTAAGAGTTCTATAGTCACATAAAGGAGTTTCTGTGAGGCACAAAAGTTTAAGCACTAGACTACTAGTCAGAAGTTTAGCGGTTCAAACCCGTCCAGGGGAGCTTCAGAAGTCAGGCCTGGAGATCTGCTTCCAAAAATTCACAGCTTGAAAACTATGAAGCAGTTCTACTCTGTACACACGGAGCTGCCATGAGTCAGAACTGACTAGACGATAACTAACAAACACAACAATATAGTCACCTGTGGCTAGTTGTTACCCTACTGGACTGTACAGATTGTACAATATTTCTATCATCACAGAAAACTTCTGTTGGAGAGTCTCGATCTACATGGTCCATTTGGTTACTGAGTTAACATCATTTTAAACATCAGGCTGCAAAGAGATTTTGGGGAGCACAGCATATCCCAGGACATGTGATAATTCATGGCAGGAAAAGGATAGTGGAAAGCAATAAAATTCTGCTCCTGGAATGAGCCAATATGATAAAGCATTGACATCTGCATTACAGAAATTGTTCCCCCTCCCCCTTAGACAAGCAGAGAAAATTTGGCCTAAAATGGAAAGGAGTTAGTAATACTACTATTTGAATATCTCACCACACTCTTCTAAGCATTTATAAAATGTACCCATCTTTCCTTATCTGTTTGTGGCTGATTGGATCTTACTGTTCATCCCTTAAATACTATTCATCCTTTGTTCACTTCTTGTCCACAATGTTCTGCTAGCTACAATATTTTTTAGTATGTATTTTAAAAAAGACAACCCCAATCAAAATAGAAAAATGGAAACTCTTCCCACTTTACAAAAAAAAAAAAAGGCAAGAACTTTATTTTAAATAAATCCTCAGTTGTGTGTTACACCAGGTCCCTATCCAAATCTAAAATCATAATGATAATGCAAAGGAAACAGGGTTTCATAAAAACACATTATACAGATGTTACCCTTGGCCAATACTTTAACTAAATACACAGTGGATATGAAAGATACAGTATGGCACTTAATAAGAGTAGAGAAAAGGAAACATATTCATAGTCCAAAGCAATAGGTTTTTGAACCTTTGGTATATATCTCAAATAAGCATAATAAACACATTAGCCAATAGTGCTTAGTACCAGATTGTTAGGTTGTTTTTGTTTTTTTAAGCCAGTGATTGCATATGTGCGTGTGTGTGTGTTTCAAATATAAATGATAAAATAGTAAATTAGGATTGACATGTGCTGATTAAGGTCTCTGGTGTGAGCACACAGATAAATTCAAACCATGGCAAAATGAAGTGCAGTTGCGTTACACAACAAAACCATAAGAAAAGGAATGAGATACACCAGTTAGAAACTCTGTGGCTCCAGTAGACACCCTCAATATTAAAAAAAAAGAAAAAAAGAAGAAGAAGAAGAAAGAAAGGATCCTTTTAACACCCTATCCAAAGTCCACAAGCTGGAAAGTAGAAATATCCTGAAGCTCATAACCACATGCCTAACAGTGCCACAACCATCACACAGAAGTGTTGTAGTTGCATATTGCAATTCCGTCCCTCCCACCCATTCCCACCCCTAATAAACAGCACCAGTGCAGTTTGAGTTAGAAAATTCGAAATACTGAGACATTCCTAAGGTTTTTATAATGACTAAAGGGCCAATCTGATGGGGCTCTAATGCAAAGCTCTGTCATGGCCATCCTCCAAAAAGCAATACCATGTAATTCCCTCTATCTTGCAGATAAACCATATTAGGCATTCTGTAAGGCCAGACTCAGAAAACGCTGGCATGCTATCCTGGGTTGAGGAAGACGGGCATGCTAATGATGAAGGTACATGAAGGATGCCTCAAGGATGCTTGTCCTGCAGCCCAGGATTAAGGGAAATGTTGAGATAGATCACAAATTTTGTACCAAAAAAGTATTTGGCTTACACCATTCAACAGGATACAGAACTCAGCAGAACTAAGTCCTACTTGGTAGCTGTGCGTCCACTGTTACTAGGATCAGGCTGGGCCATGAAAGACAAGAGCCTAAAGAAGTCCATCTCATCCATCCCATCACTCTAACCAATTGTCTCTGTATGGTCAATGGCATGACATGTAGTAATGGTTCCACTTTCTTTCCTCTCCCATTGATGCAAGATCTTCTCTTTAACAGGCTTATCCTACATCTTAATGGTGAGAGTCACATAAACGAGGGCAGACACAGCCATCCTCGAGCAGTTGTATGCCTTGGGGCTACTTGTCAACCCCCATTTCTTCCCAAAATCTACCTTTTCACACATAGGCAGAGTCACTGGACTGAGTCCTGCCGAAATTGGGAACACTGACCCGGGGCAGGTCCTTGTTACGGATCTCATAGACTGACTTCCTCTTGGCCTGGGCACCTCGCACTGCCAGCTTGATTTTGCGCCATCCCAGGTGGTTGAGTTCAGCTAGGTTGAGCACAACACAGATGCCACTCACAGCAAACATGAACACTAGAAAGACAGTCTTTTCGGTGGGCCGGGATACGTAGCACTCCACCTCTTTGATGCAGGGGTAGCGGTCACACTCGTACAACCCTGGGACACTGAAGCCATAGAGAAAGTATTGGCCCACCAGAAACCCAATCTCTAGGGCATTTCGGAACACCACTTGGATAATGTAGAAGCGGGAGATGCCCTCCTGCCTTCGGAGCTTGGATCGTGCTGCAGTGCGCAGCCCTGATGGGTGTGGAGTCAGATCTTTAACCTCTAGACAATCTGGCTCCATCTCCTTGCTGGTGTTTTCTGTGTTCTGCAGCACCCCGTTGACAATAGCATTTTGCAACTTCTTATCTTCTCGTTTGCCCCCCACACTGCTCCCACCCACAGTTCCTCCAGGACCTCCCATGGACTCAGAAGGGTCTCTGTCCAGGGCTAGGAAGACAGTAGAGTAGCGGCGTTCTCGCTGCTTGGCGGACTGGTGCACAGAGTAGGTGATGAAGCAGAGACTGGGAGTACACACCATGATGATCTGGAAGACCCAGTAACGTATGTGGGAGATGGGGAAGGCGCGGTCATAGCAGGCCTGGTTACAGCCGGGCTGCAGGGTGTTACACACAAACATAGTCTGCTCATCATCGTACACCGTCTCCCCCACAATGGCCACAATTAGGATCCGGAAGATCACCACCACAGTCAACAGGATCCTGAGCAGGGGAAGAGGGAGGGAAAGAGGTTCTCATGGACTGAGTCACTGGCTTGGAACCCCCCTGCTCCAGTGTTTAACCAGAAGGCTGGCGGTTCAAACCCACCAGCCACTCCTTGGAAGGAAGATTGGGCAATCTACTTTCGTACAGATACTGCCTCAGAAACCCAAGGAGAGGTTGCTATGAGTGGGATTAGACTCGACCGACAGCAGTGAGTCTGTTTGTTTGTTTCCTCCAGTGTTTATAATGGCCTTTGACTGGGGAGCTGTCCACAACTGTGAGGAACAGAATCTGGAAAACCCTTTGATCTCTTCCCTTTCTGACACTTCGTAGTACAAGGATCCCATGTATATATGTCTCCAAACACTAGGCAGGGTGTATTACAACAGACAGATTTCATCTGAGGAGCTCTGGTAGCATAGTGTCTAAGGCAATTGACTGCTAACCAGAAGGCTGGCGGTTCAAATCCACCAGCCACTCCTCAGAAGGAAGATGGGGCAATCTACTTGCGTAGTGATACTGCCTCGGAAACCCAAGGAGGGGCCGCTATGAGTCGGGTCTGACTCGACAGCACATAACACCAACAACAGATTTCATCTGTATATCTGGAATGTAAAAAAAAAAAAGAAAACAACAACAGTTGCTGTGGAGTCGATTCTGACTCATAACGACCCTATAGGACAGAGTAGAACTGGCTCCATAGGGTTTCCAAGGCTGTAAATCTTTACAGAAGCAGACTTCCTCATCTTTCTGACACAGAGTGTCTGGTGAGTTAGAATCACCACTCTTTTGGTTAGCACCTGAGCTCTTTAACCACTGCTCCACCAGGGCTACTGGATGGAATGTACAAAGTCACAAAACATATCTTCATTGCGGAAATGGCAACCGCACCAGAATACCTGTACAGAGAGTACATATTTTAAGATCTACACACAGTGTGTGTATATAACTATGTGTATATAACTACTCCACGTGAATATTTAGTTTATTTTCAACATGAATCTTGGGCTTAATGCTTCATATAATGCAGATGTCTATGATTGTATGTATGTATGCATGTGTCAATTGGGTGTGTAGGTTCATGAAATTTTAAGTTTTAATGCTCAATTCAGTTTTGCTTAATAAATATTTGTTGGGAAGAGATACATCTGCTCAGAAGAACAAATCCATCTCCCTGTTTGCCCTTCTCTGTCCAAATAACAATCCTTCCTTCCTCATAGATTCTATTTAGGGAACCAGATGGAGATTGGCTCTGACTCTGGAGAGTGGGGGACCAAGGCTAAGCCAGCAACTCTTTTTCTGATGAGATAAGAGTGAACCCCGGTGGTGTTTCATAGGAAAAGGATGGGGGGCTGATCAGGAGTAGCTGGAGGAGGAGGGCCATTTCTGGGCGTCGAGTGATCCCTCAAGTTGGGAACACGGGGCGGGTGCTTGGACCAAGGGCGTTAGGGAGGGTGCAGAGATCAGGCTGGGGGCTGTGCGGCCTGACCTGGGACGTGAAAAGGGACTCCCCCAGGGGCCGCCCGACGGGGCCCTCTGACCACCGGCTCAGCGCCCTTACCTCCCGATCATAGTGGAGTGCTGCTGCACCGCGGCTTCCAGCAGCCTCTCCAAGATGGTCCATTCCCCCATCGCTGTGCATCCGGAGGCAGCAGACAAAGACTGGGCAGCACCGGGCACGTCCCCGCTCCTGGCCCCTCCCCGGGCCGCAGCTCCCGACTGGGAGCGAATTGCCCCCCAATTAAAGAAGCAAACAAATTTTAAAAAAAGAAAAAAAAAAAAAAAAAAGAATCCCCTCTCCCTTTTATTGTACTAAAAGAGGAAAATGGGGAAAGAAATCCAAGTGCGTCGCGACAAATGGGCAACTGGCGCGCTTCAGAGAGCCCGCAGGAACCTCAGGCGCCGACGGGGGCGGGTCTCGAACCCGCGGATACCCGGGCAAGAGGCGGGGCAGCGTGCAGGTCTGAGAGCTCTCGCCTGCCTGAAAGAGGTCTCTGGGCGCCGCTCTCCGCTGGGATTTGGGGTCCGCGGGAGGGTCCAGGCACCAGTCTCCGCGCCTGGCGCTTGGGTGGGCACCAGGCACTCCCGCACTGCCGCTGCGCCTGCGAGGCCCGGGCGGAGCGCGCAGAGCGGGCTGCTGGCCTCGGAAATCCGCGGCCGCCGCCTCTAATCCGCCTTTAAGTAGTCTCCGTCTGCGTCACACCAAGTCGGCGGAGGGGAGCCGAGCTCGGCGCGCGACTGTCACTGCGCGCCGGAGCCCGAGGGAAAGGCGACGCGCGCGGGGGGAGAAGGGGCAAGAGTCCTGGGGGCCTGGCGGGGAGTCGGGCGACAACCAGGGAAAGGACCGCAGAGCCCCTCGGGGTTTCTCGCGGAGCCCAGGTAACCTCACCTGACCGTCAGCTCCTGGCAGGAGGTGGGGGAGCCAGTAGCAGAGGCGTGGGTGCATGGGAAAGGGCTCGAGTAGATAGTTATCTTTCCTTTTCTTGTACATCCTTCACCTTTCATTTACTGCCTTTGGGGAGACAACTGAAATTCCCTCTCTAAATGGAGATGCTGGAGGGGTGGGAGTAGAAGTGAGGGGTGACAGGTAGGCGCTTTTAAATCTCCCTTGGACGGGACTGGGAGTCTGGGAGTGAAGACGCGGCTCCGAGCCTTGGTGGACTGGATGCTGGGATGAGAATGGCTTGATGAGAGAGTCCACTTAGGTTGAAACGTGAACGTAGGTATGAAGCTGCCTCTGAAAATGGGGATCCAAGTACAAATGTGTATCTAACAGGTGATTAGCGGCAAGCCAGAGAGAATGGAGGTGATTAAAGGTCTCGTCTAGCTCTGCCCCCACCCCCTCCCGGGCAAACCAAGACGCTTTGCTTTTTTTAATTCTTTCTTCTTCTTCTTTTGGTACTAATACAAGCAGAAGGGGTCTTCCTCAACAAACTAGTCTAGTCTGAATTTCAAGAGACCCAGTGGTGGTGTAGTGCCTAAGGCATCTGACGGCCAACCACAAGACTGGCGGTTCAAACCCACCACCTGGTCAATCTACTTCCGTAGAGGTAGCACCTCGGAGACCCAAGGAGGGGGGTTGCTATGAGTCAAATCCATTCGTCGGGCAGTGAATTTTTAATTTAATTTAATTGATTTATTTTTTAAATACTCTGCTATCTGTAAAAGCTCATACAACTCTACTTTTCTTATTTGATCTTGGCTTTTACCCCTCAACCAGCATTATCAGTAATTTCTGTTTTTAAATTTACATATAGTTGTCAGTTCTGTCTAGAGCAAATGCTTAATTGGTTGCTGAAAATTGAAACAATCACACCAGGATGCTAATTAACTCAGGGGTCAGTATTAAGAAACACAATAGTTGGGAGTGTTTCATATAAATGCTCCAGAAAGTTGTATTTTAAAAAATACAACTGTGTAACTTATCCTAAGGAGTTCTGGTAGTGTAGTGCCTAAGGCACTTGACTGCTAACCAGAAGACTGGCGGTTCAAATCCACCAGCCACTTGTCAGAAGGAAGGTTGGGCAATCTACTTCCATAGTGATACCACTTTGGAAACCCAAGTTGCTATGAGTTGGATCCAACTCCACAGCACATAACAGCAACAACAACATCTTACTCTAGGGTACAACAGGGTCCTAATTACCCACAAGTGTCATAGCATATATGTGTATCACATAAGCCACACCATGATTAGCTGTCAGTTCACAAAGTGGTTGGGTAGCTGGTGGCCAGAGCCTGAGAAGAAGGGTGCACAGGTGCGTGTGAGTCCACCAATTCTGAATTTCTCTGTACACTGAAGTTTAAAGGCATGACCCCAGCTTTAATATGAGAGAAATTAGGGAGATCCTCTTCTAGGGTGACTGACACATTTCCCCCAAGGAAGCATGTTTTACTGCAAAATAGTAAATGAGGCACCCCAAATTGGAGACTAGTATAGGGCATAAAGGAACCCTGGTGGAGCAATGAGTAAGCTCTCGACTGGTAAACAAAAGGTCAGCAGTTCAAACCCACCAGTCACTCAGTGGGAGAAAGATGAGGCAGTCTGCTTCTTTTCAGTCTTGGAAACCATATGAGGCAGTTCTACTCCTATAGGGTCACTCTGACTCAGAATCTGGACTCCATGGCAGTGAGTTTATGGGTGGTTTTTGTTTGTTTGTTTGTTTGTTTGGATTGTGTGTAAATGAAACGCCAGCACTTAGGCAGGCTTTCCTTAGTCTCCTGCTGGTCAGGGAGGAGGTGTAAGCAGGGTGGGGTGGGAGATTGGAGGATATTTCATTCAGTTGACCACTAGATGGAATGGTGATCCCCAACACAGACTTGGTATGCTTTCCCAGCCTCCCTTAGGCCTTGGCTCCCTGTCCCCTTCTCTGGCAGACACAGACATTTTTGGAGTAAAACATCTCAGATAGGGGGTGAATGGGCAAGGAAGACCCAAGTGAAATCTCTTTAATATCTTTAAATGTCTCAGAGTAGGCTGCACATCACAAAATTTTATGTTCTACATATGTGGTTCTCCCAAACACTTAAGGTGATGATCCTAAGGACATAGGTTGGAGGAAACACATTTTAAATGTTCTCACAATGCAGTTTTCACTAAGCTACAATAGAATTGTTGGTCATTCCTCTATTGTTTTGAAATATATTTTAATATATTGTATAGATTCAACATATGAACACATATATGTATATAATATAGATATGTAAATGCACAAAAACAGCTATACATGGAGCCTGCATTTAAAAGGACTCTTATCTGTGACATTGCTGTTATTGTTAGCTGTTTTCCATTAGGCCCCTGGCTCATGATGGCCCATGCATAACAGAAAGGAACACTACCTAGTCCTGGCACCATCCCCATAATTAGTTAAAGATCAGATCATTGTGATCCACAGGGTTTTCACTGGCTGCTTTTTGGAATTAGATGGCCACATCTTTCTTCCTAGTCCATCTTAGTCTGGAAACACTGCTGAAACCTGTTCAGCATCATAGCAACATGATAGCCTTCTCTGACAGACAAGTGAGTGGTAGCAGTATATGAAGTACATCGGCTAGGACTCGAACCCAGATCTTTCACATGGAAGGCAAGAATTCAACCACCGAACCACTACCAATACCCCCACCATGACACTAAATAACCTGTTTTTAAATAAAAACTCTATTCTCACCATTACACATTGAAAGCAATTAACCATTAATTTAAAACAATCATTTATAAGCTGTTTTAAACTTACTTTGTTGTGCTTGCTTTCTTGAGCCCAATCTACTCCACTTTCAATTAATAATTTGTCCTGATAGTGCTGCATTAAATATGAAAGGGGTCTGGGTAAATCTGGGCATCTCTGAGTTTCCTCAGGGCATTATATCATCTACAAGATTCCGACTGTCTCCATTCCCCTCTGATTAATAATCTCCACTCAAGTCAACTTGGAAATATTTTTATTTTAGTTCTTATTAAAAAGCCAGTAAACTATTGAAATAATGAGTTTGGATGAAGAGCAATGGGACTTTCATAGTATACTCATAAAACTTTGGTGTATATCAGACCATTTAGGGATGCTTATTGCTGGGGTCTCACCCCAAACCTGCTAAATTAAAATCTACGACAGTGAGGTCTAGATAGCTGCTGACTTGGTTTCTTAGTGCTGCTTAGTTCTTTAGTATGGTTTTAAAGAACAGAAATTTATTTTCTCACCATTTAGGAAGCTAGGAGTCTGAATCCAAGGCATTGGCTCTATAGGGAAAGCCTTTGCCTCTGTCACCCTGGAGAAAGATCCCTAACTCAACTTCTCTAACCCTAGAGTAGTGCCTAAGGCACTTGACTGCTAACCAGAAGGCTGGTGGTTCAAACCCACCAGCCACTCCTCAGAAGGAAGTTTGGCCCATCTACTTCGGTAGAGATACTGCCTCAGAAACCCAAGGAGGGATCGCTATGAGTTGGATCCGACTGGATGGCATATAACAACAAGCATCCTTGGCACTCCTCACCTGTGCTTCTGTCTTCCTCATATTGTACTCACTTGTCTCTGTGCCCAATCTACTCTTTTTACATCTCAAAAATCATTACTTTAAAACATACTCTGATAGGGCCTCATTAACATAACAAAGAAAAACCTATTCCCAAATGGGAATACATATACAAGTATAGGGGTTTGAATTCCACCACATATTTGGGAGGGGTGGAGTTCAATGCATAACATTTGCATTTTGAGTAAGTTCTCCTCAGTAGCTCTGATAACAATCAAAGTGTGAGAACTTTTATTTCCATGAAAATTAGAGCAGGAGGGATCCTAAACATCAGGGAATCCCAGCCGCTTGTTTCATAGATGGTAAAACTGACTCATGAAGCAAACAGATGCCCCATTGGAGGCACTCACTCAGTTATGCCAAGAGATTTGGAGGACAGCTACCTGGCCAACTGACTGGAAGAGATCCATATTTGTGCCCATTCCAAAGAAAGGTGATCCCACAGAATGTAGAAATTATAGAACAATATCATTAATATCACATGCAAGTAAGATCTTACTGAAGATAATTCAGAAACGTTTGCAGCAGTATATTGATAGAGAACTTCCAGAGGTTCCAGTCAGATTCAGAAGAGGACGTGGAACAAGGGATATCATAGCTGTTGTCAGATGGATCTTGGCTCAAGGCAGGGAATACCAGAAAGATGTTTACTTGTGTTTTATTGACTATGCAAAGGCATTTGATTGTGTGGA